GGCCTGTTGGGGTAAAAAAACACATAGAAACCACCACAGATTACGTGCTGTCCGTTGCGACTCCTTTCAATAAACTTCCACGGCCATAGCATGTCCATAGCGGGACGAAACACTGTTCAAAATCGCTTATTGGCGTTTTTAAGAGTTTTCCTAATCAAATAATATGTAAGTATAATTATTTAGAGTAACTAATAATGATATTCAAAATTCATATAATTCTAAGAATATTTATTGATAATTAATAAAGTATAACAATTTTTTATTACGATTTTTAAATATTTTATAAATAACTTCGTTGTCTTGGCTACCAGAAAGAAAATTTGTTTCATTTATTTTTCTAAAAAGCTTTCAAGATTTTATAATAGTGAGTATGAAGATTTATGACTTAAATTGTGTTTAGGACTAATTTTTAGTTTCCCTAAAGAGACGTTTTTAAAAATAGAAAGTATGTATATTGATGTATTGTTTCCTAGATGAGCTTTACATATAAATCTTCCAATTTTATGGGTTCCTAAGATATTTATGAATATCTCTATATAAATATTCCAATTTTATTGGTCCCTAAGATTTTTATGAAGATCTCTAATATAAATCTTCCAATTTTTTGGTTCCCATGTTTTTTATAAAGATCTCTTTACGTCTTTGGATTCTCATTCCAATTTTTTGGGTTTTTAAGAAAGGAAAGCTTTACGTGTTACCCCCACCCACATGTAAAGTATGTGATCAGTGCTCTCGGCCGTTGGATCAGAGTAAATAGTTGAGATGACTTGAGTCACACTTTCATAAGGTGGCTCCAGAGTAACAACTCATAGTGTTTTTATTTTAATTTTTATTCTATAAATCAGTTTGCAGCAAAATATTTGGGACATGCATATATCTGATAGGACTGCACATCATAAGAATAATAACAATAAATATTTTTACATTAAAAAAGTATTAGAATATCCCTAAAGCTTTGCAGGTATTTTTGTCATCTATTTTCACGAGAACTAATTTTTATTTTTATTATTTTTGCTAAGGACACCCCAATAAGAATATGGGACCCTCCAAATTTTAGTGAAAAAAGTCTATAGAAAAATTAAAACTTAAATAGTGTATTGGCATTGCTTTGTGAGATGAATAATCCTAGCCGTGCATTCGGATCAAAAGGTTGAGAAGTGGGATCACGTAGACTGCTTTCCCTTCAAGAAATTAGAAGATCTTTAGAAAGTGATAACACTCATGATACTAGAATAAGATAGTATGATTATAATAATATCATTAATCGATATTATAACTAATATAATTATGATTAATAGTAAATGATGTGATAATTATAATTAATATAGTGACTAATAGTATGATTACAATCCACTTAATTCTAAGCATACTTAATTCTAAGCATACTTATAATAGTTAATAATTCTAATAGTTTTTATAATTTTAAAATATTTTATAATAATTATGTTGTCTTGGCTACGTTTATAAATAATCATATTGTCTTGGCTACACGAGAAAGAAAAATAGCTTCTTTGTTTTTTAAGAATTTTTAGGACTTTAGAATATTAAGTATATGGATTCATGATTTTGAACATTATATGTGCCTAATTTTTAGTTTGCTAATATAACTTCTAAACAATTTCTCAATGAAAAGTCCTTCATGAGTCAGCCGTTGCAAGAGCTTACTAACTCACCGACATCCATCTTTAAGATGGACGTTGTAAAAAACTCATAAGGCTTATATGGGGTAGATTTTTTATTTTTTTTCTAAAAAATCACATTTTAAATGTCAATTGTTTTTTCATGCTCGTGATCATCTTAACCTATATCATGCATTCTCAAAATATTAGATTAAAAATCCATTTTTAAGATGCCTTAATGGGGCCCCACATATGTATAGTATGAGTTGGCAAACTCAAAGAAACTTCTGACCTGGGAGTTATTGGGGGGTGGCTTTCTTGGTCTAATAGTCAGATCAACAGGAGGTGTATAAGAAGTAGATTAGATCGCGAAATGGCAACCATTGATTGGGTTTTGGATTTTTCAGAATTCAAGGTGAAGCTTCTTCCGAAAGCCAATTCTAATCATTGCCCGATAATGGTAATAGTTACTAATGAGGGACCGGTCGGTCAAAAACCATTGAAATATTTCTCGATGTGGGAAAAGCAATCTGGCTTTATGGATATAGTCTCTACGTCTTGGCAAGATAGAGTTGGGGCATGGCCATGTACAGGTTTGTGACTAAAAAAAAAGATTGAGGGCTGATTTGTGTACATGGAATAGGGAGGTCTTCGGTCATGTTAGTGAATCCATTGTTGTGGTCAGACTCCAATTATCTTCTTTATATGATAGCTTAACTTCAGATCCCTCTAATGAAGCATTAATGTTAGAAGAGCAGGAGAGTACCTAGAGGCTTCAAATGTTTTTTGGACTTGAGGAGAGACTGTGGAGACAAAAATCTAGACAAGATTGGCTTAATGACGGTGACTCCAATACTAAGTTCTTCCATCTCTCCACAGTCATTCGAAGAAGAAATGACAGGATCATATCGCTGAAAGATCAGAATGGGGATTTACTAATTTCTGAAGATGATATTGATAGACATATAATCAATTTTTTCGAGAACTTGCTTGCTCAAGATTGTGATATTGAAACTATTCAGGCGGATACGTTTCTACCTCCATGTTCATTATCTTTGGATCAGACGATGAAATTGGTTGCAGCAGTCACTATGGAGGAAATTAAAGCCACTATTTGAGACTTGAAAAGTGAGAGTGCTCCAGGATCGGACGGCTTCTCAGTGCAATTTTATAAATTTGCCCGAGAGATCATTAATAAAGACCTATACATGGCCCTCAAGGACATCTTTGGTAAAGGTAAGCTTCTAAAACAGATTAATTCTACTTTTATATGTTTGATTCCTAAGGTGGATTTCCTTTTTGTTATGAAGGATTTTAAATCGATTGGTTTGTGTAATATCATTTATAAGACAATCAGTAAAATAATCTCAAACCATCTTAGAGTTGTCTTTGAGGACATCATTAACCCTAGGTAAGCTACTTTCTTGAAGGGTAGGCTCATTCAGATAATATTCTAATGGAAAATGAGATTATGTCTCTTTGCTATAAGAATTCAGCTCGTCCTAAATGTGTATGCAGATTAATCTGAGTAGTGCATATGACAGAGTTTCCTGAAAATTTATTGTGAGGAGGTTACATGCTTTGGGTTTCCCATATCTATTTATTTCATGGATTCATCTATGTATTTCGACTACCCTTTTTTTCTGCTGTGACATATGGCTCCCCTAAATGTTTTTTCAAGGGAAGAAGAGGTTTGAGACAAGGAGATCCTTTATCCCTCTACTTATTTCTACTGGTCATGAATTTCTTTAGTAGGCAATTAGACCAGGCTATGTTGCAGGTATTGATACCCAGAGCCTTCCCCTCTGGGCGTGGCTATGGGGTTTCCCACTTATTTTATGCTGATAATGCCGTAATTTTTTGTGGGCTATCTTATGCATTTGCCTCTACAATAAAGACGATTATCACTAATTTTGAGAATACTACTGGGCAACGTTTTCTTCTTTGGGGTTCTACATGACAGTCGAGCACGGATCTTGAGAAAGCTGGGATTCAGTGAGGGTTTCTTGCTGGTGCTGTTTTTGGGGCTTCCTCTATTTCATGGCCATCTCCGGCATAGTTATTATTAAAGCTTGGTTGGAAAGGTGATAGGTAAGATAGGTACATGGCAAGCCTTCTGTTTATCTTATACAGGACATCTTCAACTGCTTAAATCAGTCCTTAGTACTTTGGTTATTTTCTGGATACTATATTTTATGCTGCCAAAGAAATCTCTAACATGATAGAGAGGCTTCAGAGGGACTTTCTATGAGCAGGAGTTACAGAACATAAGGGGGTTCATCTTATTAAGTGGAGGACAGTTTGCCTCCCTCATGAGGAGGGAGGCCTGGGGTTGAGGGAAATGACAGACTTCAATATTGCAAGTATGATGAAGCTGACATGGACGATTTAACAAATCCATCTTCTTTAGTTGCCCAATTCTTCAAACACAAGTATTTCAGATTGTGTTCTATTTGGGATTCTATAGCTAAGACGGGTTATTCTCATGCTAAGAAGGTCATTCATATCAGTTTATCACAGCTAAGTGATAATGTCCAGTGGTTTATTGGGAATGGGATGAAGGTGGACTTCTTAATGGATCATTGGCTATCAGTACAATCAATCTGGGACTCTTTAGATGCAAATGGACAGATGGATTTGAGGGAACTTGAAGGGCGAAAGGTCTCAGAGTTTATTGATGGTAACCCACAATCATGGACATTGCCTTCACATCCTTCAACTTTACTGCATACAATATGGGGTGATGTGGAGTGATATACTCTTCCCTTACTGTCTAAGGATAATTCATTGGTATGGACTCATTCTGCCAATGAAACTTTCTCAATCAAATTAGCATGAAAGTTCATTCGGTATAAAAGCTCATCTCAATCCTTATTTTGTGCTCTTTGGTCTTCAAGATGTCACCCTCGGGCTAAGTGGTTTTCATGGTTAGCTATGCATAATTGGTTATCGAATTCATCTATATTTCAGCAGTGAGGTAGACACATGGCTACTATTTTCCCTTTTTGTAGAAACAATGAGGACAATCTATTTCAACTTTTGTTTCACTGTCCTTTTTCGCTAGCTTGGCGATGTCACAAGAGATTTGTGCCTGGTACTACGATTCTGGATATTCTTTGCTGGTGGTTAGCCTTCAAATTCAAATCAAAGTGGTTACTAGACATCTGGATGGATTTTTTTTCACAACAATCTGGTATCTGTGGGAGGAGCAGTTCGATCTAATACTCTAAGGAGGGAGCAGGTTGTAATATGTATTACTACATATGTCAAGGCTCTAGCATATGTTAAAAAATGGGCATTCCATTTGTCAGAAAAGGCGGTTATTGAAAACTTAAAAATCAACTGGCGCTAGTAGAAGTCAAAATCCTCAGTCCCAGTTACATGGTCACATGGTCATTTACTGAGGTTCAGTGTTATAAGCTAAATATTAATGGTGCGTCATTGCATAATCATGGTTTCGCAAGAAGGGGTGGGGTTATAAGAGATAGCAATGGCGGATTTGTGACAACATTCGCTAAACACTTTGGAGTTGCGTCTAATAATTATACAGAATTTCAGGCTCTTGAGGAAGGTATTCTCTTAGTTATCCAAATGAGTTGCTTCTCGATACAGATAGAAAGTGATTCATCTTTGCTAGTAGATGCTATTCAGGATCATTGCAGTGCCCCTTGGAAATTACGAACGATAGTTGACAATTGTCGTTCAAGGCTCTCGGTACATATGTGGACTATTACTCAGGTTTTTTGCGAGACGAATATGGTAGCTGGTGCTTTCGCTAAGCAGCATCTGCTTATGCAGGTGCAATAATTTGGCGTTGTCGTCCGCCGTACTTTCTTTCTCTTCTATTATTACATGATTTGGCACAATTGCCCTATTATAGGGTTGTGAAATAATGTATCTTTCTTTTTCCTATTAATGAAAAAATTTGGGTAGGGGGCCTTCTCCCGCACTGACTTACCAAACACAACTCAAAGAAACCCATCCATTTATCACACTAGTATAATTCTATTTTTTTTATCATAATTTTTATGCTTTCATTTTTAATTAGTATATTAGAGCACCAAATTGTTTTTAAAATATTTTACCTATATCTATATCTATATTTAAATATATGCTATATTATTAAGCCATAGTTAAGGGGTGGACATATATCTGAAGAATAAAAGGGATCCTATCTTTAGAGAGGATGTAAAACACATGACCTTTAATTATAATATAAATGATATTATTATAATTAATTAAAATCATAATTTTATTTTATATTGATATAATAATTATATTATATATAATGATGTACACTTTTCAATGATATAATATTAAAATTGTAATATTATATTAATATACTATAAATTATACAATTATATTTTTATTAGTCACTAAAATAATATAACTATTGCGTAACTGCTAATAATATAACTACTGCATAACTGTTAATAATATAACTATTCCATAACTGTCACGATACAACAATGACGACATTGTATAACTGTATTACAAATTACAAATGAAGACATTACTACCCCAAGGGATTGAGCCCTATCTTAGTATCATTCTTTAACTCTTTCTGAAGCAACATGTCATATTTATTCAAAATTAGAAGTATATTTTCTCCTGTGCAGATTAAAATTGATCTTAAATTTAGACTTTAAAATTTACTTTTAGTGAAGAGTTAACAAATGATACTCCGTTCTTCATAAATAAAATGGGCTGCTCTGTATAGTCATGTCCTTTCTTTCGTTCTTTTTTTTTAATGCATTGTCCTTGGATAACATATTTAATTGAAGATTCGTGTACGTATTGCGAATTTAATAGCGCAACAGCTTTCCTTATTACTGTCATATTCTGTCAAGGATTTTTTTAACATTGATCCGAAATCTGTTTTGCCGATGTGAGTAAATGATTCTTTGACTATATGCTCCTTATTTCCTTCTCAAGTTACATGTTTTGATTAACGCGATATCGTGTTGTTGTTTTACGTGGCTAATCTTAATAAGTGAATTGTTTGTTCTATATAATATTCTTGGTTTATCAAGGATTTTTTTCGTCTCGGATTTCTTGTTGAAGCTAGCCTTTGAATCTGCTGGAGCAGTTCCTGACATGTGCACAGCGATTCACCAAGGGATTTGATTACTAATGTTTGCATGGGTTGCATTTATAACCAATTTTAGTTTTTTATTGAAGATTGTTAATTGGCATTGGTTTCTTTTGCATCGGACTCGAGCTTCATAAATGTGATGCTGCAAAATATTCTGTGAAAATCAGACATTTGCATCATATTTTTCACTTTCAAATATTTTTTTCCTTCCATATATGCTAGTTCGTTGTCCAATGTACTTATCTTTCTCTGCCTAGCTATATTTGTGATCTGCAACGGATCAATTTGATTTGTTTTTTGGGAATTGCTGGTTTTTCTGTATTTTTTTGGTAAAAACACAATCATCAAGGCTGCATATTTATGTGAAATATTTATAGGCTTTCAACACCAACCCAGAAGATCCATTGAGGTGGATAATGCCTGCAAAAATGACTGATGCAGTTTATAGACACTTCTGGTCAGTGAGAAAGCATATGTAGATTTAGGAAAATTAGGAAGATTTCACTAGTCAAGGGATCTGAAAATTTAATCGATTAGGGTTTCCTAATGGTATATCTTCTATGGTATTTTCAAGAAGTTGCTGCATAGTGCATGGAGCATGAGAAGTGGAATTATGATCGCCTTTGAAATATTCTATCCATGTGGTTCATAGTAGGGTTTTTAGGGGAATTAGGGTATTCACCTAGGAAAAATATGGATTTTGGCTTGAGGCAAGAGAAGTTAGGGAATCGCTTTAGGGTTTTAGTCTCGCAGGAATCTAATCAAATCAAATTGGTTGCCCACACTGCCAAACCTTAACAGGTAGCTCAGTCAACAAATAAGACTCCCAGAAAACATTACGAAGATAAATTTATCACAAAGCTCATGTGACATGAACCATTTAACATCTCAACCATTCCCTCTGATATAATTTAAAAAACCTCATTAAATGACGCATGATCACGAGTTAGAATAATTGTTATTTTAAATGTGTTTTGAATCAATTCTACCATTTTGTGCAACTCAATTAATGTCATGTTGTTTCATTTTACGGCATCATAAATTACATTAAAGACACGGGCCCCAAAACAGAAAAGAAACGTATATAATGAAAGAAATGAGTCCTGGTTTCTATGCCTAACATTGATCTACGCCAAATTGTTTGAATATCTGTGCCTGTTCTTTTAGAAAGACTTGACAATAGTTTTTTATATGAAGAACATGTGATAGGTAGTTTGCATTCATTTCTCGATGCATATCTGGGCTCCGAAAGTGGAAATATAAGTCATGTACCAATGTCAAAGAAAGAGAGATGCTTGTGACTCATGTATGCACAAGTATTGGAAAAAATAATTGCGAAAGGATGCGGTTTGGATAAGGTTGCAACCTTAAACAAAGTAATGTGCACCTCTAAATTTTTATCATAATGCAAAATTTTGGTATAAAGAATTCTTAGGAGGGCTTGAACATCCATTTGCATATCTAATTACAAAATTTTAAACTCCAAGAATGCTTCCAATCAAGTAGATCCATAAGACATGGAAATCTTAAAAATGGATGGTCCAAATAATATGTGGCAAGTGCACCATGTCAGGGACTCGACATCTTTGTTTTTTTTTCATTTTCATTTTCATATATCTCGATGATCAATTAGACGGTTTTCCGACATCAAAACATCATTTTCTAATAATATTTTAAGGTGCACCTCAATTCTACAACCAAAGAGAGTGTTTTAGTTATCCAATAAAACAGTGTTTGTGTATCTTATACATACTAGTTTCAGAAAAAAACTATGAATATGAAGGATCTTATAATCTTCTTCGTGCAACATCTTGTATCGAACATCGAAATGTTTTAAAGGATTAAATGTAATATTTTACACTTCTTTTATATATGTATTAAATAAACAAAGCAAAATCACAATTTGAAGGAAAATAGTAAACACACATAAAGAATAATCTCCAAGTAAATTCACCAAGCAATTCTCTTACATGGAAGCAAAGTGGGCTTATAAGGGAGGACTCCACGACTATCAATGTCTGTCTTGAACTTGCAAACCCTTCTCCTTTTGAAGGAAAACACAAGGAGGTCTTCAGATTTGACTATAACCATGATCTCACAAAACAATACACTTTCACATTCGCAAACACCAACTCAACAATTCCAAGAATTACCTGGAAATCGACCACATATTTCTTATCCCAAATCCTTTTATTCATCATCATCAGGCAGCAAGGCCAAGATAAAGTACGCTTTATCTTCATGTAGCTTAATTCACATCCAATGAAAGGCTTCATTCATGAATATGCTGCACGTACTACCTATCCAATGACCAGCACTAATGTCTACATCTCTAGACCTTCTCCATGCCCAATATCGTGAGTCGAATACCTCGCATGTCAATGGTTAGGTGCCTCGATCTCTTCCTCTAGATCTTTTGGGGATCGGAGCAGTAGCGTCTCGAGTTTCGATGGAAGATCCGGGACGTTTTTGAGATCGCTCTCTCGGGAACCCCATTCGAAGATGGGGGCAGGTGTTACCAACTAGTGAGACAGGAATTTAAAAGTGGGTTTGAGACCTACTCGGGCTGACTTGCGTGGGCACCCTCTTAGATCTTGAAGAAAGCCCCCCAGTAATAAAACTGGTTTGGAATCACCTCCCTTGGCTTGTATTCTTCTTGTTTTATGCTTTTCTACAATCACACACATATATGGCAAAGGTTATGAAACAGGTGGGTCAGACCTCACCCTTTTCCTCTTTGATGAATGTACACAAGTATGCGCATTCAAAAGAAGAAGAGAAGAAAGACGGGGGAGAGAAGAATTCGACTAAGCGAGAGGACCAGAGCGATGATTAGGCTGATGGATAATTGGCCTGACGTGGTAGTAAAGCGGGTTCAGTAACTAAGACCGGCTCACAGGATTACTATTAGACGTTGTTACCAATACTGACTAGCTAAGTACGATGGTCAGTTTGTCGTGGTAATAACGCCGGCCAAGTAACCCTAGCACGACAACATTACAGCTAGACGACAGATCTAGCATGAGAGGTTAATCTCAATCCCTCTTAGTCAAATGAAAGAGTAACAGAATTAAGGCTATGAGGAGAGAACAAGAAGAGAAGAAGGGAAAGAAAGAAGGAGGGAGAAGGAAGGAAGAAAAGAGTATGAAAGATGAGAGAATAAAGGAGAGAGAGGGAACGAAGGTGCAGTCGTGGTTAAGCACTGCCGATTGTGTTTACAAGGAAGAGAGAGAACCAGTCGATGCTAGGCTTCACCTATTGACAGGAGAAGAGAGAGAAAACTAGTTGGCACTAGGTCTCACTGACTAACAGAGGAAGAGAGAGAACTAGTAAGCGCTAGGTCTCACCGACTGACAGAGGAAGAGAGAGAACTAGTCAGCGTTAGGTCTCGCTGACTGACATAAGAAGAGAGAGAAAACTAGTCGGTGCTAGGTCTCATCGACTGATAGAGGAAGAGAGAGAACCCAGTCGGTGCTAGGTCTCACAGACTAACAGGGGAAGGGAGAGAAAACCAGTTGACGTTAGGTCTCACCGACTGAAAGAAGAAGAGAGAGAAAACCAGTTGGCGCTAGGTCTCACCGACTGACAGTGGAAGAGAAAGAAAACCAGTCGACGCTAAGTCTCATCAACTAATAGGAGAGGAGAGAATAGACTAATCGGTGCTAGGTCTCGCCAACTGATAGACAAAAGGAGAAGAGAGAGA